TGTCACACATGTAACCTTTCGCAATAAATATTCTCCATTTGAACAAAATGAATTTATTTGCCTCAAATATAAGTTTGAAACCAAACTTATTCGATAGACTTCTAGACACTAAATTTTTCCTAACTTTTGGAGCATAGTATCAAAGTTAAATTTTTTCAAAAGTGAACTCAATTTCGATAATCCTTTTGTCTTTAATTGCTACTGTAGAAGAATTTCTCATGTATAAGAATTTTCCATACTCACTTGGTGCGAAATTCTTGAAAAGAATCTTGTTGTTACACACATACTTTGTTGCTCCTTAATCAACCCACCAGACATCATTTTCTTTAAGCACATTAATTTCAAAAGTCATGGCTACAAAATTTTCAAAAGCATTTCTACTTGAAGAATCATTTTTCTTCTTCAATAATCGACATTCTTTCTTGAAATGTCCTATTTTCTGCAATGGAAGTATGTGTTTTTGTTCTGTCTTTTTAATTTCGGACCATGGCAATCTATTTGAACTTCTTTTTGGTTGATTTAGTAGTATGTCATTCCTCCACAGTATGTACTTTGGCTCCATCAAAACATCAACTTGTTCTTTTTTCCAGTATTCCTATTCAATTCGAAGATGATTTGCTAAAGCCTTAAGAGTTATTTCTTCTTTTTTGTGCTTTAGACTTCTTCTAAAGTCTTTCCATGATAGAGGAAAGCTTATCTATAATAGAAGACAACTATAGTTTCATCCATGTTCATCTTATACTGTTTAAACTGATTAAGTAGTCTTCCAATTTCACGTAGTGGTACAATAACTAAATGGGCATTGACCATTTGATAATTATTAAAGCGGCTGATAAGAAGGTTTTTATTTGTTGCATCTTTTGTCATGTTCTTAGCTTCTAGTTTGTCTCATAATTCTTTTGCAATAGCCTGATTTTGGTATGTGTCAAATAAGCCATCAACCAAACCATTTAAGTTGCGACCCTTGCACATATAATCGGCATTGTCCTATTTTTGCCTTTCTCTAGTTGCAACAATAGACTCATTTTTGCTCTCTTCTAGTCTAGGTGTAGTCAAGACATTGAGAACCTTCAATGTTGACAATAGGAAATGTATCTTTTTCTACAATCTTAGAAAGTTGCCACCATCAAACCGATCCAATTTCACAAAGTCAGAAGCCAATTCTCTTAGTGTTTCACTTGCGGCAACCATTGTTGAAATAAGATAAAACCTTAAGATTGTTAGAACATGGAACTAAAAATCAAGAAATTGGCTTCAAGGCATGTATCAATGTCACTGTCCTTAAGATTTTATTCACCCTCACTTGCAGTGTATAAAATAGTTATCAACATATAAATCTCAAAAATATAATGAAGCCCAATATTGATGGAGTTTTGCATTCACAAAATCAATTCACTGAGCACTCACCAAAGTATGACAAGATTATTAAATTTATATAAGTTTTTTTAACAGCAAAATGATATTGAAGGAAACTTGAAGAATATGAAAGCAAGAGATTGTTATTCTGTTGTACATTTTGTTATTTATAGGCTTAGATGTCTATTCCCAATAGACATAGTTTGTATCTATTTCAAACAAACATAATTTGTGTATGTTTTAATAGACATGACTCTTCTTTTATTTTCTTATTTCCAATAGACATAACCTTTCCTTTATTTTCTAATTTCCAACAAACATAACTTTTCCTTTTATTCCAATGTGGAATTGTGTCCCATATTTATTTGAAAATGTCCAACAATAATTAATCATTCATTAGTCATAAGGGATTATTGACTCAAAATAAAAATATAAAAACTTGATTGAATGCAATAAAAGTTTAAAGGCTTATTTGAATTTTTTAAAATAATTTAAGAGTTTATTCGAACATTATGCTTTTTTATTTTTTTGACTTGAAGATCTTCTTTGCAAGGATTATCATCATTGTAACTAAAAATGAAAATGATACTAAAAAAGTTGGACGCAAGTGCATTAAGGCACATGAGGTGAAATTTTGTTTAATTCGATAATTTGATTAATAAATAATTTTCATTCAATTTTAAAGATTAATTACTGCATTAATTGAACCAATCAGATTATTCACCCTTAAACCGAATTAAATGTGTGTGTTTCTCTTATCCAAGCAAACACCCAACACTGTAAACTAGGTCTCTAAGCACAGTAAAAAATTGGCTAGGTTTGCCAATTAATGAACTGGTGGATTAATCCTTGGGTAACTTTTTGGGGTGCATATATTTTGTTAAAAAATACATTTAAATTACATAATCAAGAAACCATTGCAATTGATCTCTTATTCAACTACTTGTTAATTTGTTTTAATGGTTTTCATCATTGAAAATGCCCCCTATATAATTGTGATAGCAATTGGAAACATTAGTGCTAATTAAAATACAAATAAGCTTTTCAAAATATTTTAAATATACAAATCATGAATAGAGGCAGAAGGAGAGGGGTGGTGGCCACCCCTCAATTTTAATTTTTTTTATTTTTATGGGTATAAAATTCATAATATTCAACTTTGCCACTCCTAAACAAAGCAAATGAGTTAGTTTGGAGTAGTAGTAACAAATTTAACTTTTAAAGGTTCAATTCAATTCTTTCTATACCCAAAGTTTAAAATTAATTTTTTTTTCTTTTTTTTTCTCTTATAAGTATAGGCATAATACTCAAATAATCTTCTAAACTATTTAAGAATATTCAAATAAGTTCTTATTCTTTTATTATATTCAATCAAGCCTTTGTATTTTTATTTTTGATCAAATAAGCCTTTATAACTAATGATTGACTAATTACTATTAGTTAAAATGTCACTTGTCATTTTATATCTACATGATACTAGCATGATGTTGATGTGGATGGTGAAATATACCACATGATCATATTGTTGTAACAAATTAATATGTTATGTAATAATCAATTATGATATGTCAACATATCATTTCGTCATCAATTATGATATGCTAACATGACACATCAATGTCATACGACATAAAATGATAAATGAGATTTTGACTAAGTCAATAATTAGTCATAAAAGTTTATTTGACTCAAAATAAAAGTAAAAAAACCTTTTTTGGCTCAAAATAAAAATATAAAAACTTAATTAAACGAAAAAAAAGTATAAACACTTATTTAAATTTTCTTAAATAATTTCAAGGTTTTTATATATATTATGTTATAAGTATACTAAACCTTCTTTTCCTTTTCTATTTTTTCTCTTTTTATCCTTCCTTTTTCTTTTTCATTTTTTTCTTGTTTTATAAGTATACTAAATTCTCTGTTTTTTTTTCATTTTTTCCCTTTTTCTTTTTTTCTCATTTATATTTATACTAAACCCTTTTATTCTTTTGTAGTCATCTATGAGTTTGAAAGCATGGAAACATGCCAAGCACAACTTACTATGTTTAATGTAAAAATTTAATATTAATTTTTTTTTACTTTATGTTTATTTATATTGGTGAATTTGAAAACTTATATTTAAATTATTAATAAAATTTTATGTTATAATTTAATTTTATTTTAAAAGAAATTAATTTTTAATAAAATTTTATATTATAATTTTATTTTATTTTAAAAATAATTAATTTTTTATTTTCAATCGAATCATTGACTCAATCCATGAGCTTGTATGATTAGTCTTTAGCCATTCTTCATACAAAATCCTAAATTCGCTACTAATCATGAAAATGACAAAGGAATTACTTAAGCAATCAAAATATCCAATACATACAACAAGAGTATTAGTTATAAAAAAGTTTATACCCTTTAGAAGCTAATGTACAAATGACATGCAAAAATATTCAATTAAATGAAAAAAGAAACCTTACAAAAGATAATATCATTAATTATATCAGCTTCACCCGCGCCTACAAATACGGATTAGCATATCTCTAATATTTTAGTGATGCTAGAGATCAGGCGGAGTTAGAAAAGTCAAACACTAAAGCTCAAGTATTGCAGCATGTAGCGGGCCAGACGGCCAGGAGGCAAGTAGCATTTAATCCAAGAGGGCAGGAGGCTCTTAAGTGCCAACTGCGGATGTGTTCCAAACTTGAGTTCTTTGTTTGGTCTGACTAGCTCACAACAGTGTTAAGAACCCCTAAAAGAAGGAAAAATGCTTGGTTGCTGGTGTGTGTAATTGCAGATTATTGAACTCAAGAGCCAAAAGCATTTATGATAGAGATAAATGCACTTTAATTGAAGGATTTATTGCTTGGTAGAATCCAGCCCACCCCTACGAACCAACCAACCCAATCTGCAGGTTAAGTCAGCGATTTGTTTCTCAATTCTCTGGGTTGACTTTACCCTTGCTCTTTAAATAGGGAAATTATATACTTGCCAGTTAGTTAACTGCTCAAATGTTGTTCCTAGCTGAATGTGTAATTGCAGATTATTGAACTCAAAACATTTATGATAGAGGGAGCATAAAAAGAGAAGGCTTTTCCTAGCCCAAAGTTTTATTTTTTATTTTTTGGAAATTGAGAAAAAAAGAATTTGAATAAATAAGAAGATTATATATTAATTAATGGGTCAGATGTTCAATTGCTGTTCTTAGCTCAAGGTTAACATGTATAAAGGTAAAATAATTTATATTTAGAAAGATTATTGACAAAAATGAGGATATATTTCAACTTAGATTTTAAGGTTTAGTGTAACTCCAAGTTCAAGGATGGGGTTAAGTCTTCATTCAACCCCTCTTTCTTTTTCAAGATCTTTAATTCAATTTACCTGCCTTTTTTTTTCTTTTTCTAGTTCGGGAGAAAATTTGGTAGCATCAGAATGTGATGTCCGGCAGACAAAACTGCATGCAAAAGAACATGACGTGGCAGAAAACTGGCCATATATGTCTGCCATTCTACAATGGAATCTAAGACAAAATAACTTCATCTATCCCCACATTATCCACAATCCAATCCTTACCGTCCATTCTCCCAATCCAACGGCAACTGCCCACTCATATCCCCAACCATATCCACCGCTTTTATTACAAAAACACTCCACAGTACCCCTGGCGTTGCTGGCACTCCGAAGCCTCTTTCGCTCTCACCTTCTCAAACATGAGCTCCATTGCTTTCAAACCTTTCACCGGCCTCCGCCGCAGCTCCGCCGTGCCCGCCACCACGAAAACAACCAACTCCACCGGCCTCTCCAAAGTTGTCAAATTCCATGTGTCAGCTGCCAAAACTTCTCCAAAAGTAAGCAACCGCAACCTCAGGGTAGCCGTCATCGGCGGTGGTCCAGCCGGAGGTTCGGCCGCTGAAACTCTCTCGAAGGGTGGAATTGAAACGTTCCTCATCGAACGTAAACTTGACAACTGCAAACCTTGTGGTGGGGCCATCCCACTTTGCATGGTGGGTGAATTTGACTTGCCATTGGATATCATCGACCGGCGAGTCACCAAAATGAAGATGATTTCGCCTTCTAACATAGCTGTTGACATTGGTCAAACGTTGAAGCCGCACGAGTACATTGGTATGGTTAGAAGGGAAGTGTTGGATGCTTACTTGAGGGACAGAGCCAAAGAGAATGGAGCTAATGTTATAAATGGGTTGTTCTTGAAGATGGACATGCCTAAGCGTTGGGACGAGCCTTATGTTCTGCATTACACCGAGTATGATGGGAAGAAGGGTGCTATGGGGGAGAAAGTTAGTTTGGAAGTTGATGCTGTGATTGGAGCTGATGGGGCTAATTCTCGTGTTGCTAAAGCGATTAATGCCGGTGATTATGATTATGCTATTGCATTTCAGGTATTTATTGTGGGACATAGCTTTCATTTTTCTTTGCAATTTTTCCCCTTCTGGAGCTATTTGCTGTTCAAGTGTTTGTTTTTACAGAGAATACAGGAACGATTAAAAAAATTACATCATAATCAAACATCTTTTAACGTATTAATTTAACTAATTAGGGCATTGGAAAATTATTGAGTTAATAATAACCTGCATATAATTAATTGGAGAAAATTCATGTAAGGTAGCAAGGTCTTCCCCTTACCATTAGAATGTAACAGTTCTCATAGAGTTTATGTGCATGGTCAAGGAGTGAAAGAGTCGTTAACAATGGGGTTTTACTTAAAAATTGTTAATATTATAATATAAATTTAAGCAAAATATCTTTCACCGGTTGTTGGGCTATGTTACTGCAGATCTGTTTATTTTAGGCTAAATTTAAAGAAAGTAATGTTTTGGAAATACAGATCCATGGTCTTTGCGCTTTGTTGATGATGGATAAGTAAGAACTAAGATGCATTTGATTTACTAATATATTAGGCAAATTCTGTCCTATATTATTTTGGGAAAGCATGTTCTGGACTTTACAAATGCGCTTTGCTTTTTTCTTTTTCTTTTTTTTTTTAGTATTATTGAATTATTTATAGTTAAGTTGAAGACGGTGTTTAATTTGATACTGCCTTTTTGCGTCAGGTGTTATTGCCATTAAGAATCTGTCTCAGCCCATTGCAGGGTGATTCGTATTCTATCTTGCATCTTAATTCTGAATGTTCAACTACTCTAACATTCAATAATTTTTAAAATCTCATTGTAATTGCAGGAGAGAATCAAAATACCTGATGAAAAAATGGTGTACTACGAGAATCTTGCTGAAATGTATGTAGGTGATGATGTCTCACCAGATTTCTATGGTTGGGTCTTCCCCAAATGCGATCATGTTGCAGTTGGAACTGGCACAGTGACTCACAAGAGTGACATTAAGAAGTTTCAGCTAGCCACTAGAAACAGAGCAAAGGACAAGATCCTTGGTGGTAAGATTATACGAGTGGAGGCACACCCAATTCCAGAGCACCCTCGTCCACGCAGGTTATCAGGGAGAGTTGCCTTAGTTGGGGATGCAGCTGGATACGTGACTAAATGCTCAGGCGAAGGCATCTACTTTGCAGCTAAGAGCGGGAGAATGTGTGCTGAGGCGATTGTTGAGGGGTCACAGAATGGGATAAAGATGGTGGATGAAGGGGACCTAAGGAAGTACTTGGAGAAGTGGGACAAGACATACTGGCCTACTTACAAGGTACTGGATGTCTTGCAGAAGGTCTTCTACAGATCAAATCCGGCAAGGGAAGCTTTTGTGGAGATGTGTGCAGATGAGTATGTGCAGAAGATGACATTTGACAGTTACTTGTACAAGACAGTGGCACCTGGAAATCCATTGGAGGATCTGAAGTTGGCTGTGAATACCATCGGGAGCTTGGTGAGAGCCAATGCACTTCGGAAGGAAATGGAAAAGCTAAACGTATGAGATAGATTGCTAGTTTCGGATTAACTGGTCTTCCATTTCTGTTAAGAGAAACCTATTGTGAGCATGACGTTCCTTAGTCTTCTTACCAATTGCTTATGAGGAGGGAGATTATGTTTGTATTTTAGAAGATGAAGTTGCAATTCTATTTAATTCCATAGATCATAATGATGTGGATGTGATGATCTCATTACATTAAAATATCTGAAGGTTAAAGTTTGTTTTAGCAGCGACTTGAAAGTTGAGAATGGTTCCATAACATAAACAAATAGAGGGAAGAACAACCACACCAATTAGATGGTAAATCTGGGTGTCAAGTTGTACAGAGATGTCATGTCTTACGATCGCTCAAGTGAAGGGTGAGCTCAGCATTTTCCTTTTAAATTCATGCTTATGTTAGTAGCTAGTAAATGAAAGACTATACCAATTGGTGATCGCAGCACCTTCCTTTTAAAATCTTTGTTGATGTCAGTAGTTAAAAGAATATAGGCATATACCATTTGGATACTCAAAACTCCCAAGTCCTAACCTTTAAGAAACTAAGCAAAACTAAAGAATACTCAAAACTTTTGCACTACAAAACAAGTTATGGCACATTTGCCCCTTCCCCAATTGAGCACCACAAATAACACTTTTCCCAATTTCATTTTCCTCACAAGTACACGTGTCCTCCACCATGTCATATGCCACATTTAGGAAATTTTAATTTCTTTATATTTTATACACGTTTTAGGAGGATAAAATGCATAATCTCAAAGTTATTACCATTAACTATTATGGGTTTTTTTTTTGTGTGTTTTGCAAGAAATGTAGGTCCATGGGAGATTCCATGATGTTTAAGGTACGAAATTGCATGAATCTAATTAAAGTTTGATTGTCTAAAGGCACAATACCTGACAAATGAGGACAAAACAAATTAAACTATCAAACAAAAGAAGTCCGTAAAGGCCAACGGAAAATGGAAAAAGGAGCGAGCAGGAGTCCGAAGAGGGAAACTTCAATCTGAGCCGTAGAAAGCATGAATTCAACCATCGGCCACGATTTCTTCTTGTGACAAATTTAAACGTGAAAGAACAAGAACAAGGCTTTTCGTAGATTCTTTCCAGAGAGCGGCGGTGTATTCGGTACACAGAAAGAAAAAGGAACAATTTTGGGAAGAGAAAACAGCGCAGCAAAAAGAGTAGGTGAAGTTGAAAATTTTTGGTGATTTGTTTAAAGCTCATTGGCGGAGTTTCCTATAAATACCAAAACCCCATTTTTCTTATATATAACTACCTCCGTTAAGCTACCTCTCTCTCTCCTCAGATCTCAAAGGTTCGTTTTCATTTGGAGTTTTTATAATTCTTGAAATTTAAGCTATGGATTTCATTTATTTGCTCAAAATATCATTTGGGTTTTGTTTATTTATCTAAAATATGATCTGGGTTTGGTTTCTTTGCTTGCTTCGTGTTGTTTTTATATTGTTTTCTTTTGTTTAAGTTGTTCATTTTTCATGTTATCTTTTTTTTTTTCAGCAAAGGTGTAATATGGATTTAGATCTGATGCTTTCGGTTTCTTTATTTGATTGGTATCTCTTTCATTTTGAGCTTGGAACTTGAGATTGTTGTTTCTCTTCTTTGCTTTTTGGTGATTAGTTCCTTGTTACATTTTTTATACAAGTGTATTCCTTGAGGATATGCCTTAAAAAGTATGCTGTGTTGTTGGGGAAAAGTGTTTCTTGTCTTCTGTTTCCTGAGTAAATGTTTGGGAGCAAAGAGGAATTTGTTTCTTGACCCTGCCGAGCAAACGGTTCAAGAATCCTGATTTGCTCTATTTGGATAGATTTGTTCTCGACTTGACGCATGTTATTATGCTGCAATAGCAATGGGATTTCAGGATTTTTCTGTATGGTTTCCAGGATCTAATTTTCTCAAGTGACTGAGGGAGTTTGCGTACAATATGATGATGGCTAATTTTGCTCTGAAATGAACTGTTGCTCTCCGCCTTTGATTTAAAGGCATAATAGCTCTATTAGTTTCGTTTTCTTTTAGTTCTCTTTAAATGCTCATTCTTTGCCATCTATTTGTTTATCTGCGACATCTGCTTCTTTTTACTTTTGAAATTGAGAACATGCATTTTGGATGTGAGTCACCCAGCTTGTTGACTATATTACTAGATATCTGTTTCTAATATCAGTAGGCTGGGCTTTGACACTTTTTCCTGTATATAGAGTGTGAGATGGCGGCAACATCGGCAACTAGCTTCTCGATTGGATCGACTGTCTCCTTTGGAAGCAGGGGGTGCCCACTTCCACAAAAAAACCCCTTTTCTGTAAGGTTCACCTTCCAGAATTCACTTGCAAGTTTCAGTGGCCTCAAGGCAGCAACATCTGTGAACTGTGAATCCGAATCCTCCTTCCTAGACAAGGAAAGCAGTGCAGCTCTTAGAGCCTCTATTGCTCCAATAGCACAGAAAGCAAACCAGAGGTCTCAGTATGCCCTACAACCTCAGGCATCTTATAAAGTGGCAATACTAGGAGCTGCTGGAGGGATAGGTCAGCCTTTGGCACTTCTAATCAAGATGTCCCCACTAGTTTCGGCCCTGAACCTCTATGATATAGCCAATGTCAAGGGAGTTGCTGCTGATCTTAGTCACTGCAATACTCCTTCTCAAGTTCTGGATTTCACTGGTGCTTCTGAATTAGGAAATTGTTTGAAAGGTGTGAACGTAGTGGTTATTCCTGCTGGAGTTCCAAGAAAGCCTGGTATGACTCGTGATGACCTCTTCAACATCAATGCCAACATTGTGAAGACCTTGGTTGAGGCTGTTGCTGATAACTGTCCTGATGCCTTCATCCATATTATTAGCAATCCAGTTAACTCCACAGTGCCAATTGCTGCAGAAGTTCTGAAGCAGAAGGGTGTTTATGATCCAAAGAAGCTTTTTGGTGTTACCACATTGGATGTTGTGAGAGCTAACACATTCGTTGCTCAGAAGAAAAACCTTAAGCTAATTGATGTGGATGTTCCGGTTGTAGGGGGGCATGCTGGTATCACCATTTTACCCCTGCTGTCAAAGACAAAACCCTCTGTTAGCTTTACTGATGAAGAAGTGGAGCAATTAACTGTCAGGATTCAAAATGCTGGGACAGAGGTTGTGGAGGCGAAGGCAGGTGCAGGGTCTGCTACACTGTCCATGGCCTACACAGCAGCAAGATTTGTTGAATCATCTCTTCGCGCTCTGGATGGAGATGGGGATGTCTATGAGTGCTCTTTTGTGCAGTCAGATCTGACTGATCTTCCATTCTTTGCATCTAGGATCAAGCTTGGAAGGAAAGGGATTGAAGCTTGGATTCCATCTGATCTTGAAGGGTTAACTGAGTATGAGCAGAAGGCTTTGGAAGCTCTTAAGCCAGAGTTGAAGGCCAGCATTGAGAAGGGAATTGCATTTGTGCAGAAGCAACCGGTTACTGCTTAAAGCTCAAATATTTGAAGTTCTAACCTCCTTGAAAACTATGGTTAAGAGAGAGATAACTAAGTCTGGTAATTTTGCTATGGATTTATCCCTGCATTGGTACTTTCAGTTTTGCAGAGTGGAAGTTCTTTAGCTTCTTTTCCCAATGATGATCACAGAGTGCGAAATTTAAAGGGTATTTTGGTGTTGTAGATGAGAAGGATGTAATCATTTCTCAATCAGAGTTTGTAGTACTTTCGACAGTTTTGGAATAACATGGCGGGTGCGCCACATTACCTTTATTCCTGTGCCAAATTCAACTGTTGTTATTTCTCTGATAGAAACATTGGCAAGATTCCTCTTCTTATGCTTTCTCATCAAGCTTCATAGTATTTAAAGTTTATTGGATATCATTCTCGCATTTAGAATGCTCACTATATTAGGCTGTTTAAAAGACTTTAATATTCGTGCAAATAAAAATTTAACTATGATGTCAAATGTCAAATGAGTGGACTGAAAACAAAATAATTTTGTTTGTAATTTTGCATCAGCTTTTCAGTTAGTCTTCCTTCGTGTTGAAGCATCATAGCCCATATGAAGGTTTTATCTTTCTGATGGGTAATAAATTTAAACATTAATACCCAATACCATGAACCGCATACATTATTCAATTCCGCTGGTTTCTCGTACAACAAAATCAGGATCACACAAGAAACAAATAACTTGTAAATCTTTTCATTCACTAGAAAGAGAAATAAGCGATTTACAGTTCAATGCCAGCTTCACGACGAATATTTATCACTGAAATCCTTGTTGCTTTAGCTATGATCAAGCCAATCAAGTTATACTTGTGCCGATCATAATGCTCAACTCATCCAGGTCTTCTGTGGAAGACATACATCGTCGACTTGTTTCTCTCCTGCTTCAGTCTTAAGTTTAGGCCAAGAGTTATTCTTCATAGTTCCTCCCCTTGGCTGAAGCTCATCTTGGAGAACTGTCTACGACTCTCTCACTGTACAATCAGCCAAAGAGATCTCTGCAGCAGCTTTCATTCTACTCTGAACTCCAATGAGCACTGCTTTAGGGCGCAACAGACAACCAAAATAAAGTAAGCGATCAGATCATACATATAATCTTACCTTACAATATCCCATCTCATCTTCTCTGTTTGAATCATGATCAAGTATTGACCTTCTGCAATTTTCTTTGAACTTAGCAACAATCTTCACTGAGGTTTCATAACCAAGCCCAGAGCTAACTATTTGACACAATCCAGAAGAGAAGGATTTGTCACTTATTATGCACCCAATCTTTTATTTGTAAGCTACACCACTCAGGTCACTAGTTTTGAGTTTGTGAACAGAGTTAGGGTTTATGACGACTTATGTGCAGTAATACAGAATAGAGCTAGATCTGAGGTAGGGATGTCCTGTTTAATATCTGCAATGTCGATCAACAGACCAAATAGACAACAGAGGCAAATACGGAGAACCTATTCAACAGATCAGTAAACAGATGTACCAGTTCTGAAGTCACTTGAGTAGGAACTGAAATGATTTAGTTAACAGATGAAAGCTAACACTCAGGTCAGCTCTGCTAATCTGCCAAAAAATCCCTACAGTTCACTTCCCCATTTTTTAGTATGAATTGAGCCATTTTTTTTTGTCCAAGCTTGAAAAATCCCTACCAATAGTCATTACATGAGCAGCCTCCATCTCTGAAATGATGAAATCTCATGCGATCTCGAACAATTACCTTCCTGTTGTAGACCCCAGAAAGAAACTTTGCAAAATTGTGACAATCAACGCAAATACGAAGATTCTTGGTCACTCTTATTGTTGTGCCAGGTGGAGTTGCAAGAACCCCAAAAGCAAGAGCCAGCTTCTCACTGTGATAAGAGAGTGCATGAGCCTTTTCTTCTGCACCTAAATCGTGTAATTCAGATGTAATTTCAGCAACGTAGCCAGCAATCTTCAACTGCTTATTAATCTCATCTAGCTTATCATAGATCTCATGTTTTCGTGGATGTGAAATGTCATCCACAATAAAGTTATGTACCACTCCTTTCAACTCAATTGTACTACAGCCAGGTGTTGTTTGGATGCCTTTCTCCTTCATAAACTTCCTCAACTCTGTTACCTTCTCCCACTTACCATCTGATGAATATATATTCAGTAGTAAAACATAATCCCCTGCTTCTTGAGCCTTAAGTTCAATCAAATGTTCAATTACACGTTCTCCAAGGGTAACATGGCCATGAATTCTGCAAGCACCAAGCAAGGTCCTCCATATTGTTGCATCTGGCTTTAGCCCCATTGATATAATAACCTGATATGCTTGATCAAGCAAACTGGCACGACCTAAAAGGTCAACAATGCATCCATAATGATGAATATTAGGCTCTATTCCAAACTCTTTGCTCATTTGATGAAGGAACTCCATCCCTTCATCTACTAAACCACAATGACTACAAGCAGAAAGAACTCCAGTAAATGTCTGCTCATCCGGCGCAATCCCCATTCTCTGCATCTCTTCAAAAGCTAGAATAGCATCTCTCCCATATCCATTCATTGCCAAACCTGATATCATAGCACTCCATGAAATAGCATTCTTCTCTGGCATTCCCTTAAAAACACCATAAGCCTTTTCCAAACATCCACACCGAGAATACATTGCTATAAGTGAATTACGCAGATTAAGAGAAACCCCATAACCACATTCCTCAATATAACCATAAACCTTTTCGCCAAAATCCAACGCCCCCAAATTAGCACAAGCTTGTACAACAAGGAGACAAGTAACATCATCAGGTTTACAAGCACCCTCATTTTTCATGCTATCAAACAACATTAGCACATCCCTAGTCCTACCATTACGTAAATAACAAGAAATCAATACATTCCAGGCGACTGTGTCCTTCTTAGAAATTTCATCAAACACTTTACAAGCCTCGTCACGGCTAGCGAAACTTGAATAAAAATCCATCAATGTAGTAAGCAAAAGAGAGTCTGATTGAAACCCATCTCCTAAAATCCTTCCATGAATCTGTAAACCACAAAAAAGAGAAGAAAATTTCATACAAGACTTAAGGACAAAAGAAGATGATACAGGGTCAGGCTTCAGGCCTTTTTGAGTCATTTCTTTGTAGAGAAAGAAGGCATCTTTAGGTGAATCGCTGGAAGAGTAAGCTCTTATAAGAGTGGAGTAGTGAGAGGCAGATGGCTTATCGATTTGAGAGAAAAAATGGCGGGAATAGCGGAGATCACGGAAGGGGGAGAAACAAAGGCAGGACAGAAAGCGGAGGGAAAAAGTGGGGTTTTGAAGAAGGGATGTACGGATAAGGTGAGCATGGATTTGGAGTAAGGAATTCTGGGTACCTGATTTTATGAGGGAAATTAAGTTTTGTTGTTGGGTTCTGGGATGGGGGTTTTTGGGGGTTGGTTGTTGATTGTTGTTTGGTCGTGTTTCCTGGAAGGTTTTGTGAGTGAAAAGTTTATCAATTGGCTTGCTTGTGGTTCTGGTTCTGGAGAACTTGAGGGACGACAGACTTTTGTTCATCACTGCTGCTGGAGCTTGTGTCATTTTAAACGTACGTCATTGCTTTTCTTTCTATAAGCTCCTGAAAGGCGACCAAGAACTTGACTCTCTCTCTCTATGTCCAGTAATTTGGAAGTAAACATGTTAAGCTTATGTAGTGCTCCCGCCATATTTAAATCAACGTTCGTCTCTAAATTTTGTATTAAAATTTTAATTTTTTAAATTATATGAACATTCAATGATTGAATGTCCAAATTATAATATTAATAGTCTCTCTCTCTCTATATATCCAGTAATTTGGAGGATTTTTTTTCATTAACATTAGAGCTAGACTGTTGATACGTGAAGATTATCTACTAAAAGAAAGATGATTGATTTCTCTAGAAATATTCCGAAAGAATACACAACCAATAATACGAGATGGATCAATTTGTTAGAGGAGTTTCCACAATTTCCATCGCCTTTTGCAAGCGTTGAGCACCCAACAAACAACATTCTTTGAATCTCATCATTCAATATCTAAAAATTGCTTTCCAAACTGCAGTGAATTTAAAATAAAAAATTCAAGTATCTATATAAGTGAAAATTGTGAAAAATATCCTTCGTAATAAGTTCACTTCAAATATGACATTTTTTTATAATTTTAACTATTTTTAGACAATTTTTAACATGAGTTAACAAAAATACCCTTTAAACCATTTAATCTAAATTAAGTGGTCTTGATTTCTTTTTCCTCTCTCACCATTCAGATAAAAATTTTAAAATTAAATCTCAATTATGCTATCTTGCCGTCCAGTTATCCAACGTCATCGAGGTCTGTATCTCGCCATCCAGCTCCCCAATGCCATCAAGGACTATATCGCCATCCAACTTTCTCACCATCCCAAAATACAAAGATGACATTAAGGTATTTGTTATGAGTTCTTGGATTTATTTTTTTATATTCATAAAACGAAAAAGTTGATGGATAAATTATATGATTTTGAAAACTTACATCTGACTAGGAGTAGTGAAATCAATTAGTTTATAGGCAATGCATGAATATTTGTTAAGCATTGTGTCATTGGATATTAAGGTGTGTGACTCAATATTAGGCATTACATGACTGATTATTCAGAATCATAACCTATTTATTTGGCATTAAGTGACTGAATATGAGACAATGTGAGACTAGATAAGAGGCATTGCAAGACTAGATTTTAGAAATTACGTGAGTTGTTCATTGTGTGACTAGTTTTTAGTAATTACGGTGCTTTATCTACCTAATGTTGAAGATGATTATCTATTAATTCAGCCCCTTTAATAACAAATTCTATAAAATTAAAAGAGAACTAGGAATGCTTAATAACTTATTCAGCCCCTCTAATTCCATTTATATCAGTGTGGAACATCATCCGAATTCAACTGACACAGAATTTTAAAATTCTCTTTAAAGCACTTAATGCATCAATTTGCAAACTAACCATATTCATCCGAAAACAAGCCTAAAACCATTAAACACCCTTCCAAGAGTCAGTATTCATACCTATTAATAGAGGGAACCGTTATCCATTTTAATCAAAATCATTTGAGGGAAAATCTCAAAATTCTTATGGCTTCTAAACGTTCCAGAGGCGAAGTTGGGAAAGGGGTTGCTACTAAAAAGGAAGATATCTCCTAAAATGTTGCGACATATTTGGTCAAGTTGATGGGCCAAATTGAGAACATGGAAAAGGACATGTGTGGGTTGATGGATAAGTTGTTGGTTAAGACAGAAGTCCTGGAGACAGAAATTCTAGGCAATAACAAGATTCTAGTTGAAATTTATGAAATAGTAGATGAGATTAGAAAGAAATGAACCATGGTTCATATGTTTTATCATTTGCTTATTTTCAGCTAATGAATAAAAATATTGATTTATCACATATTTTTCATAAAATGAGTAACTAGCTTTAATTTATATTATGCTGAATAACTCGGTTACTTACCCTAATTTCTAGATTTTCTATTTATATAAGAGAATCAAAGGTATGGTGACAAAAATTGGAATATTATTTTATTTATAGGCATTAAGTGAATAGATATTATGCATCATGTGAATGGATATTATGCATTGTGTGAATAGATATTAGACATTGCGTGTCCGGTTGTTATATATTTCATGACTGATTTTTATGTATTACGTGACGTAGAGCCAAGGTGTAACTGGGTATTTTGGCATAACATGAGTGGATGTTAGGCATTGCGTGGCTTATTATTAGGTATTGCAAGATTGACTTATGCGCTGCATGAATTGTGTAATGCATATCTTGTTTTGATACATTTCTTGACTACTTTTTTATGCATTGCGTGATAGGTTTTTATGTATTCCATGTTTTGTTGTTATGTATTATGTGACACTGGGCCAATATGTGACTGGTTATATTGACATAATGTGAGTGGATATTTGGCATTAAGTGAGTTATTATTAGGTATTGTGAGACTGGCTTATAGGCGTTGCGTGAATTGTGCAATGCATATATTGTTTTGAGACATTTCTTGACTATTTTTTAGGCATTGCGTGACTAGTTTTTATGTATTCCATGACTTGTTGTTATGTATTGTGTGACGTTGGGTCAATACGTAACTGGTTATGTTGGCATAACGTGAGTGGATATTAGGCATGGAGTGACTTATTGTTAGGTATTGCGAGACTGGTTTATAGACATTGCGTGAATTGTGCAATGCATATCTTGTTTTGAGACATTTCTTGACTATTTTTTAGATATTGCGTGACTGGTTGTTATGTATTGCATAACGTTAGGCTAATACGTGACTGGTTATTTTGGCATAACGTGAGTAGCTATTAAGTATTGAGTGACTTATTATTAAATATTACGAGACTGGCACTGCGTGATTGTGCAATGCATTTCTTATTTTGAGGCATTTCTTCACTAATTTTTAGGTATTGTGTGAATGTGTAATTACATTGCGAGACTAATGTATGTTATTCCATAACTTAGGCATTGCGTAAGTGATTTTTATGCATTAAGGGCAATTTTTGATAAAGTGACTAGTTGTGACACTTATTTCTATTAAATTTTAGCAGCCTACCAAATGTGAAGCTTATGATTACATACGGTGGTCATTAGGTCGATGACACTTACAAGGGTGGTGAGACATAAGTGAGGGGTGTCGGGAGTGATTTGTCATTTTCGAGCCTAGTGAAGCTGGTTGAAAAAGTTGTTGGGGTCAACTCACATAATGATGAAATTAAGCTACATGCATTGCTCAATCATGCTGTAGGGGTTTGTGCGCAGTTATCAGGGACGATGAAGATGTAGTAAGTATTCTACAAGACGAGAAGGTAGTTGTTGTGTTTGTGATAGTTAAGACACGAAGTGCTAACGATATTCCACATGAACATGGTAACCAACATAGTAATCACCTACAACATAATGTTAATTATTCTAACATACCACACTAAGTATACTACTTATAAGGAAGAGCCTACTACTTATAAGGAAGCAATATCTTATATTGATTCTAATAAGTGGCTAGAGGCCATGAAATCTGAGATGGATGTCCTGCATGTCAACCAAGTATGGACTTTGGTCGCTACATCTAAAAAGGTAAAACCCATAGGATGTAAATGGGTCTTTAAAAAAAAGACTGACATGGATGGTAATGTACAAATGTACAAGGCTAGGTTGGTTGTCAAAGGTTATAACCAAGTTGAAAGAATCGATTATGAGGAAACCTTCTCACCTGTAGCCATGATTAAATCCATTTGGATTTTACGTGCTCTTGTTACATATTATTATTATGAGATATGGCGGATGGATGTAAAGACATTATTCCTTAACAAGAATTTAAGAGGAAATGTATATGGCACAACCTAAAGGTTTTACATCCAAGGAGAATTAGCATAAAGTATGCAAACTCCAAAAGTCCATTTACGAGCTAAAGCAAACATCTAGGAGCTAGAACATCAGATTTAATGAAACTATTAAAGAATATGATTTTGTCAAGAATCTTGATGATTCATGTGTTTACAAAAAGGTAAATGGACAAGCAGTTGTATCCTTAATACTTTATGTTGATGGCATACTACTAATAGGAAATGATATACTGAAACCATAAACTGTCAAAATCTGGCTGTCCAAACAATTCTCCATGAAAGATTTATGAGACGCAACCTATGTTTTAGGAATAAAGATATATAAAGATAGGTCAAAGAAGCTGTTAGGATTGTCCCAACCCACTTATATAGACAAGGTGCTAAAAAGATTTAACATGAACGAGTCCAAGAAGGAACACTTGCCTATGTCACACGGTATTCATCTCTTAAAAGATATGCGTCCAAAGACACAAGATGAAAGGATGGGGATGGATAAGATACCATATGCATCGGCTATAAGATCCATCATGTATGCCATGTTATGTACTAGACTAAATATGGCATATGCTCTGAGTGTCATGAGCAAATACAAATCAAATCTAAGTGAGAGTCACTGGATTGCTATGAAAAATATCCTTAAGTACTTACGAATAACGAAGGATGTTTTCTTGGACTATGGAAGGGCTAAACTCTAAGGTAAAAGATATGGAGATGCTACATTCTAATCCGATAAGGATCATAGTAAATCGTAAAATAGGTTTATATTTACCTTAAATGGCAGTGCTATCATCTAGAAAACTTCCAAGCAAACAACACTTAAAAATTCTACAACCAAGGTTGAGTACATCATTGTGTCTAAGGCAATGAAGGAGGGAATTGGGATCAAAAAGTTCATAATTGAACTTGGTGTGGTTCCTATCATTGTTGATGTTGTAAATTTGTACTATAACAACAATAGAGCCAATGTGTAAGCAAAAGAACTGAGGTCTCATCAATGGTCTAAACATGTTTTGCAATGTTATCACCTGATCAAAGAGATCATTGGAATAAGTCATATTAATACAGTAAGGGTACCCACAGAGGACAACTTAGCTAACCCTCTCACCAAAGTTCTATCTCAATAGAAACATGATGCCACTTGGAAGGCTTTGGTATTAGATACATGATCGATTGGCTTTAATTCTAGTAGGAGATTGTTAGTGTAAGTCCTACAAGCCAATCGATTTTGTGATTGTAAAACACTATATTAATTAGTCATATTTCAAGTTAAATGAGTTATAAATATTTTATATAATGTATGAGATATTTCTTTATCCATGAGTTAATTTATAAAGAGTTATGAAAGACTTTTATAGATAAAGTCCTTAAAACATAATGACC